TGGGAGAACTTGCACAATTGGTGGCTGACTAAATACTTTTTTGCCCCACTGTAATGGAGCAATACATTATTTTTTAAACATGACTTTACAGTGTTAGTATGTGCCCATGATATGAAGATTATAGAATTCAATTTTAGTTGCAAACTGTTTGTCTCTTTCAGTTGGAGCCAGTTGGTTACAAGCAGTCATATAAACATTTCCCAAAGGAAAGGCTGAAGCTCAAGTGTCCAACCTCAGTAAGTAACAAACACCCTAGCTCTGTAACATAAACATAAAAGCACAAGAAAAGCCCTTTTGAGTCAAACCAAAAACTCTCTGGTCCAATATGCTATGTTGTACTCTGGCAAATCATAAGCAGGACGTAAGCCTTTTCCCACTGTTATTCCCCAAATGACACATGGGGCCATCAATTCCAGAGGTAGTATATGTTTATCATGTCTTGGCTGCTATTAAACCCAGTAACTATGTTTTCACCATGCAGTTTGAATCTGTCCAAAGCCCCCCTGTTGAAAGCTTTCTAAATGATAAATTAGATCTGATGTTTGTTGTACGGTTAGCACTGCTGGGCAAGATTTTAAAAATGATAGCCAAATCAGGCTGCTTTCTTCTCCTCCTCCTCCTCCTCCTCCTCCTCCTCAAAGGAAAATTTATTGAAGGTTCATCTAGACCAAATCTCCCTTTTTTCCCCTCATTTTTAACAGCCTCCAGCAATGATTAAATTGGGACAAATTATTAACCCAATTAATATCCCCATGCCTGGTCTCTAGGATGTTTCTATCCCATACAGAAGAATTACACGCTATAAATTTTTCCTAAAGTTGCAAATCCATCTTGATGAGAGAGGAAGAGAGAGACTGAGTTCATAGACTACAGGAAAACTGCAAAAATAGATATCAGAAATGATTTTAAGGAAATGGGTAATACTGTACAACAGAACTGGAAAAGAAGCCTGGGCAAGAAGGGAAGCCCTTTGGCATGGACAGAGGATCAGGGAGAGAATAGGGACAGTAAACAGGTTTAAGACAGCAATGAAAAGACTGGGCCATCCCCATGCAGCAGTAATAGAAACTCTCCTTACCTGTATTTCATTTGGGTTAAAATAAAATTTAATTTTGTTAAACAGTGCCAATCCCTCATGAGATTTATGTAGCATATAAATGATCTGATTGCCTAAAAAAACTAGATAGCATCAAGACAAGCATAAACCCCTGCAATTCATACTTGTCCCTCTTCTGATGGAGCCACAGATGGATCTTCTTTTCAGAAACAAAACATTAGGAAAAGAAAGATGCCATAGGGGTAGGCAGGATTAATGAAAAAAGGTCTGGAATTTGCTGGTAAGTGGAGTATCAGTGGGGCCCGGTGGAGAAAAGGAGGAGAGATTCTGCCTCAATAAAAAATGAAGGATGACAGCTGAAGACCGAATGAAGAATAGACCTCTTGGCCCTGAAAGGATTTAAGCAATTCTGTATTCCATTACGCTGACAAAAATATGGGGATTGAAGAAAGTTATGTTAACCGGGTTCTAGCCCTAAAGTCTTCCTTTTCTTCTTAAAGATTTAGTTATGCTTACTTAGATTTGCATAGTCTCACCTGGGTAGGAGACATTCCAATCCCATTTTGTTGGTTCTCTGCTGAGAGAAAATATGTTCCCTCTCGTACCATCAGAATAGACCAATTAGTAGTAAAATAGATAATTCTCTAAAGGTTCTGCAAATGTTTTCTTTCTGCTGCAGGAACACCCGTATCTTTTCACATCAAGAAACAGCCAAATGCACAGTTCAATGCTTGACACAAAGCACAATAGAGACAGCGTGCCTTACTGGGCTGTGATTATAGCAGCCACAATTGGAATTTTGGCAGGATCCCTGACTGTTTGGGGTATAATGACTCGGAAAGTCAACAAACACCCGAGGGCAAGAGATGAAGCAGCTGAAGAGAAGGCAACAACATTTTAAATGTGCATCTCTACCAAAGAGTTTTAATATATGCTACCTCTAGTGACACAAAAAAAGCAACATGGAAGCTTTGCACATGCTATTTTTAACTAAAGTTTTCCATCTAAAAGTGGAAGAAATGACCTCATCCCATCTTGAATAGCTAGACCTCATGATAGCTAATGTTTAGCAGTTATTAAAGAAGGGAAATATCAAGAGATCTTACCTGGCAAATTAAAACAAAAAACATTTATGTAATTTCCTTTTTTGATTTTAAGTAGAGACGCTTTTAATAACACTGTAATCATCCAATTATTCTGCACTATTCACCAGATTTTATGATGTGTCAATGTGATCACATTATCTCCCGTTTGTGATCCTCTTGTCATCTCTCCAGTTGTAATCCTCTCCCACATTTTCCATCTTTTCTCTTAACTCAGAAGGTAAACATGGAATAAATGCACAATGGATTTGGAATGTTCACAGGAGCTCTCAATTTGGAAGCATCCATATTTTTGTTGGGATAATGGAGATGCCAAGTTTCCATAGTTATTAATTCATCCACTGTGACAGGGTGTTCCTTTGGGTTCATAGGATTTAATAAATGCTACCATGCAACTCTTTTGGATCCCCCTCCCAATTTATTAAGAATATACATCAAAGCTAGCAGCATCACTTCATTTTGTTTTCCCCAGTTTAGCTGTATATGCAAAATTTACAATTGGATAATGGCATTCCAGTGCCCGCTTCCTCCTTTCCTTCACCTGTTGATAATGCTGCTGCTTGCATTTCTAAACCGCCATCAAGAGATAACTTTTTTTCCTCAACTGTTGAATATCATAGCCTAAGGTTTTCCTACCTGCTTATATGTTTGCAAGCTAATTTTGCTCTAACGTGTTCATGCACATGGTTATTTCTAATTACTTTATTCTGTATTTACATCGTATGCTAGAGATAAGGAAAGGGCTAAATATATACCGGCAGCCATCTCTCTTAGACTGGCACAGGGTTTCTCCCTTGGCTTTGGCTGGTAGAATACCTCATCTTCTGTGATCTTCAACTCCTGAGGGATTATCTGTGAAGGGCAGACAGGGTCCCATACTGCATCCTCCTCTTTATCTATAATGAGTCTTCTTCTGAATTTCACCCAAAATCTCTCTTCTCCAGAACTGAATCTGAATTTAGGTTTACCAACATTCTCCTTTACTGAAAACAACAATAAATTTTCAACACCCAACACTATTTAGCTCCATCTTCAATCGTGCCAGCCATTACACTTCCTTCATCAAAGTTCACCACCTAATTGTTTTTCCCAGAGTCTTCCCTCGTGTTCTTAAGATCCCACCACTGATGCCAGCCCAACAGAGGAACATTTTCCTATAAGAAACTGAGCTAACTCATCTCAGCTTTCCTTTTAGCTGCAAGTGTTTGTTGGAATGACCGCATAGATACATGCACAGACAGGCGGCAGAAAGCCACATTATACCCCTCCCCCCCCATTTTTTTTTAAAGAAAGGGCTGGGGAAGAAGCTCTTTTCTAGGCCTTTCACAGATTCATTGGTATGTTTGTTACAGATAACAATCTCTGGGTTAGTCCCATAGCTGGACAGAAAATCAGCAGTTTGGTGCTGTTTTTCTGCCTGATGTTACAAACCTGTATGGTGAGAGTGAGATACCAGCATGTAAGTCTTTCTATTTCATTTTTTGCTAACCAAACTAGTGGTTGATGATCTGTGATCACACTGAACTCATCCCCCACAAAGAAGCCTTTAGACCAGGGGTGTCAAACTCAATTGCACAGGGGGCCAAAATCCAAAACACACTTTAGGTCACGG